GGGGGCTCAGAATCGAGACCGGCGGTTCACATTATTATTAATTTATGAACTTGAACCAGCTTGGTTAAAGCCACGAGGCGATCGACTGGCTTGATCGGGCTAGTTTGGCCCGTGATCACCTCTAATTTTATACCATTTCTGAAATTGGTTTATTTGACCCACAAAAATGGCTCATACAAATTTGGGAAAATTACATAGATAACGGTCATTATATGTATATTTACATATTTACGAACGGGAAAAACCTTAATCATATTAGGATAAGGATGTGAATTTTATATCAAATCTACGATTCTCTCTCTCCACATACCGTTTCTCTCTCTCTCTCTCTCTCCACATATTAGTTATCAGATTATGCATTATTTCTCCGGTTTCTCTCTTTCTCTCTCCACATATTGATTATCAAATTATGACATTATTTCTCCAAAATCAACGCATTAGAAACCCAAGAAAAAAAAAAGCAACAAATATGCAGATTTTGATACCTATAACTCAGGTAATCATGAATTTAAATTTGGAAATGGGATTTACACTTCAACAATTCATTGCAATCCGAAAAAAAAAACCAAACTGATAAGCTAAAAAAAAAAATTGATCGTGTCAAAGCTCTAGAGACGTAGAATCCACATCGTGCGGATTAATTAGTTTTACAAATCTCATATTTTTGTGCATCTAAACGTAATATATACAACAAGTAAACACAATTTTATTCATGTAATCTTGAATATTTATTTAGTAAATCTGTTTATTTTACAGGAACATGACTGATGTGAAAGTGTTTATACATCACAATGGAGTGTGGATCAACAATGAATACATGTACTATCAAGTTGGAGGTATCTTGATCAGTAAATTATGTGACTACAATCAGCTCCGAGATATTGTGTTTGATAAACTGAAAATAAATTATGTGTTTGATAAATTACGTGTACTATTTGATAATGTTGTCCAAAGAGCACGCACTAGTATCAAAACCTTTTGAAAGATATAAGTCATACATATATTTGAAATTCTGATCAAATAGCAAGTCGGTGGTGGTGTACCGTACGACCTCAAATGAACCATATGGTCCGAGCTTTCTGAGATAATAGAATAAAACATCCATATGTTGACAGGGTTATTAGTAGATATCTTGAAAATTTTACTATAAAACAATAGCCATTTATACTAAAAATAAACATTAGATAAACATGTGCATAATCAAACAAGTTTTAGAATATAAAGTTGGTCAATTGCTATAAAACAACAAACATGTATACTAAAATAAACATTAGATAAACATGTGGTTTTTCATACAACAACAATGTATACTAAAAATAAACATAAGATAAACATGTGCATACTCATACAAGTTTTAGAATATACAGTTGGTCAATTTGCTATAAAACAACAGACATGTATACTCAGAATAAACATTAGATAAACATGTGCATATTCATACAACATGCATGTATACTAAAGATAAACATTAGAGATATCCGATTCCATCTCACTTTCGTCCTTTGATTCACTCGATGTGAATCTTCCTCCTCATCAAGTTTGAATTCCGAGTCGGAATATTTTTGATTCTTTGGAGACCGAACGATTTTTCCCTCCTCTTCTTTCATGTGGAACCGATTTTTTCTTCAACTCTCTTTTCTTCGAAAAATCCCGTCGACACTTACGATTTTTTGGGTCAAACTTTGGAATATCAGTGACCGTGTCACTTTCGTCCTTTGGTGCATCCGACCCCATTTCACTTGAATGAGACTCTTCCTCCTCGTCAACATTGAAATCCGAATCAGACTCTTCCTCCTCTTCAACAATTTTATCTTCGACGTTGTTTTTTCGAACCCTTTTCTTGTTGGGGTCGTCTATCACCTTTTTCTCTTTGTGTTTGATTTTATGTTCGGAGACGAAATCGTCATCGTTGGCAGGCTCACCCTCAGCGGTCTTCGAAATTGGTGCTTTCTTGGTACGGGTAGGTTGAAATTGAGATTTGTGACGAGATTGGGAGTGAGTAATCCTTGCATCGTCTTCAATGTTGGATGGTTTGTCCTCAATTTTTTCTGTTCGACATTGTTCTATCCCTGTTGAGAATTTGGTGTTGAGATGTTAAGAAAGATGAAAATTATTTTGGGGAGAGAAAACCTGCACTACGGCCGATATATTGTGAGAGAGAGTGATTTTTTTTTTTTTTTTT